CAGGTACAGCTGGCTCTGCCTCTAGATAGGCAGAGCCAGCTGTCACTCACGCAGCTGGGCGGATCCCGTCATCTACGCCGGGATCCGCTCCAGCTGCGGCGTCTCAGTATAGCTCGCGGTATACTGAGCTTAGGGTGACGGGAGGACGCTAGTTTGTGTCCTCCCGTTACCCTAAGGAGAACTATGGGGAAAAACACTGACCCCATAGTTCTCCTTTAAAGGGATCTACAGCGTTCTAATATTCCTATATCACATGAGTGGACACTTGCAACATATGTATAGACCACGTGGCCAAAGTTTGTGGACACCTGACCATCAAGCCTATATGAGCTTGTTGGTCACTCCATTCCAAAACCTTTATATGGAGTCCACCCCCTTCTCTCTATCCTTTCGTGGCTTTAACAACCTGTACTTTTCAGGGAAAGCTTTCCATAAGATTTTGGAGGTCTGTAGGATTGTGTGCCCATTTGTGAGGTCAGGAACTGATGAGAAGACCTGGCTCACAATCAGCGTTCTAATTCATCCCAAAGGTGTTCAGAAGGGTTGAGGTCAGGGTTGCTCCACACCAGGCTGGTCAAACCTTGTCTTTATGGAGCTGGCTTTGTTTACAAGGACACAGGTGGTCATCCCATTCCAAAACCTTCAAATGGAGTCCACCCCCTTCCTTCCATTCCTTTGTTGCTTACCACAAGATTTTGGAAGGTGTCTGTGAGAATTTGTGGCCATTTGTGAGGTCAGGTACCGCTTTTCATACTACAGGTAAACGGGCACTTGCGCACATGCGCCACGGAATTGCTGCACAGGAATTGATGCTGTTTCCTGATGGATCGCCCTACTTAAACCGGCCTGCCTGACTCCAAGTTGCTGGATTGTCTTTCAGCTCTCCCTGTGTTCCTTGTGCTTCTGTTGATCTTGCTGACTTCTGACCCGGATTATCCTTGACCACATTGATTGCTGCCTGCCCCTGACCTTCTGCTTGCTTACTGGACCTGCCTCTGTCTCCTGCCTTTGTACCTCGCTGGCCGACTGGTGTGACCTCTTGCATGTTTGACCACGATTTTGGATCCTCCTCTGCACTCGGCTGCGTGCCTGGTTTTGACTGCAGCTCAGCTTGACCCGATCCAGTGTCGGAACTCCAGCTTGCACAGCGTGATCACCACTGGCACCTGTGCCACCCGCTGTCCACTCAGACTCTGTTCCCAACTCCAGAGTCTTTGGGACACGAGGTGCAAGGGAAGCCTCCTCCCATATTCAGTCTCCAATCAGGTACGTGACAAGCTGGCTTTTTTTGTACATGGACATAGTCATGGTGGAACAGAAAAGGGGCCTTCACCAAACTGTTACCGCAAGGTTGGAAGAGAACAATTGTCTAAAATGTCTTTGTATGCTGTAGTATTAACAGAACCTTCATTGGAGACACCTGAACTCCATCATTTGGAGAAGTGTCCACCTTCATTCTTCGTTCATATAGTGTCCTTGACCTTACAACCCTTCCCTCTTCTTCTATGTAATATTCAGCAGGTTTTGGCCAGATATGGTCTAGTTCAGGTGTGATTTTGCTCACTTATTTTGAAGACCATTTCAGAATTTTTCTCATTTGCTGCTTTCTAAATCTGACCGGAAAATGGGCAGCAAACCCACTCCAACACAAAGCATCAAATGTAGAAATGGCAAACAAACTTCTGCAAAGCACTTCTTGATAAATAACTTCCACAGTGGTAGAGTACCTTCCACTGAAAGTGACCCCACTGCGTATGTTATGTGGCAGTGTTAGCCGATGCCACGATGTGATTTGGCAACACGGTCCCCAAGACCACTCAGTTAGAGGGGCTGAGAGGTTCCATCACGGGAATACCTTTGCAGAGGATAAACTGGCTTTTCAGTTCCTTCCAGGTTTTCTGGACTATAGTGGGATGGAATCTCTAGTCCCGGGGCCAGGTGTTGCCAATGACCGGTATAGCTGGATCAGGTGGCTGAGATTGGCCTTATTAGGAGTCTGGACCCAAGTTCAGAGAGTTGAGTTGGAGTTGTGTGTGTGCAGGAGGCACACGGACACAGGCAGACTCAGGTGCGTGCTGGATGCACAAATAACAGCCGGGGGAGGCTGGGAGAGGTCAGGAAGATCGGTGACCCTAGGGACCTGTTGGACACACTGCTGAGAGAGGAGAGCAGTGTGAGTATCACACAGAGGTGTGCTGAGAGACTAGAGCTGAGGAAAGCTACTAAGGACTGTATATGCTGAAGAAGGTTGATTATCATGAGAAGTGCATAAATGTTGGCCTTTATGTGAACAAAAGACTGTCTTTTATGTTGCTGCTGCAAGCTGTCTTGTTTAACAGGGGAAGGCTACCCTGTGGAAGAACAGAGACTTTTTGTGTTTGACATTAAAGGAGAACTATGAGGGGGGGTGCTTTTCACTCGCCTCTTAGTTCTAGCCGACCTGTGACAATGAGACTGTCACAGGTCGACTCAGTAGATCGGGAGGTGAGCGAACACATACCGGCGTTCGCTCACCTCTCGATCCTGTTGCGGCTCTCTGCCGTGACAGGGGAGGGGCTGGATTCCCCTCTCCCCGCTCCGATCCTCCAGCGCTCACTGGCGGAACGGACGGGGGAGGGGGCGGGTACAGCTGGCTCTGCCTCTAGATAGGCAGAGCCAGCTGTCACTCACGCAACTGGGCGGATCTCGACATTGATGTCGGGATCCGCTCCGGCGTCTCAGTATAATGCGAGCTGTAGCTAGCGGTATACTGAGCCTAGGGTGACGGGAGGACGCTAGTTTGTGTCCTCCCGTTACCCTAAGGAGAACTATGGGGAAAAGCCCTGACCCCATAGTTCTCCTTTTAATAAACTGCGTTTTACTTGAATTACCTGGACTACAGTCGAGTGCCCTTGTTACAGTTAATAACTGTTTTAGGAACATTCCCATATCATTTATCCCCTTATTTTGAAGCACAGGTTCTCAACAGTCCCCGTCCCCAAGGAGCTTACACACCTGCTTTATTAATAAGCA